AATATGGGGGATTGGGCTGTAGGAAGAAGGAAGTGAAATATATGATAATTGTACTATAGATTTTATCAGTAGGGATTTTTAAAAAAGATTTTATTTATTTGAGAGAGGGAGAGGGAGAAGCAGGCTCCCTGCTCTTGGGGCTTCATCCCAGGACCCTGAGATCATGATCTGAGCTGAAGGCAGACACTTAACCGACTGAATCACCCAGGCACTCCTACCAGTAGGGATTTATTGATAGATGCTTTCACATTAGTAGAAAAATACAAGTTCAAACATGAAAACATTAAAATTTTACAAAATTTTAAGACTGATTCCCAATAGAATAGGAATGGTACTTTTACTTCTAAATTACTAGAGGGAAAGAGGAACAAAGAAAACTTGATTAATACAGAAAAAAACGGGGAAAAGGAAATAAGGAAGCATAACATAGAAAACAGTAGACATTGCGAATCATTTTTGGGTGAAAGAAGAAATCAGTATGCCATTAGAGACTCTAGAAAATAATGAGATGACACTCTTCTAAGCTTAATAGGATTTGACCAGTCTCTAAAGCAAGAAGGAAAGAAAAGGATATTAGTGGGCTAAGCAAGCATTTTATTCAAGCTAGAAAAACAATAAAATAAAGCTTTAGAAGGTCAGATTGAATACAAAGGAAAGATAAAAATAGATGAGTAAGCATCTTCCCTTCCCCTTCCAAATAGGCAGTTTAATTTTACTTAGGATTATAATCCTAAAATTCTAATGATATTATGAGGTATTATCTAGAGATACAGTTAGAACACCATTCCCAAATTTATTTTGGGACTGTAAAGATGGTCAGTATGAGGGAGTGTAATACTATGAAATCCATCCTCATTGATTAAAGGAGGAAAAAAGTGTATTCCTATTGAGATCAGTTAAAATAAAAATTTTTTTAAATACTTAAGAATAAACTTAAGAAATGTGTTGGGTTTGGGGTACCTGGGTGGCTTAGTCAGTTAAGTATCTGACTCTTGATTTCTGCTCAGGTCGTGATCTCAGGGCCATGGGATTGAGCCCCATAAAGGCGGCTCCATGCTTAGTGTGGAGTCTGCTTGAGATTCTCTCTCTCCCACTCCCCCTTCTCACTTGTGTGTGCAAACACACATTCTCTCTCTCTCAAAATAAATAAATTTTATAAAAAATAAAGATTTGAAGCAGATAGTCAAAAGTGGCAATAAATGTTTAATCTCACTGATGGTAAAATGAGTGTGATATTATATATATTTTTCTATTTGAAATATTTCACATGAAAATAAATTTTTATTGCATAAATCTGTACCCTTCCCTAGATGTTCAGCCTTCCTCCAAAATTTACTAATTTCTCATCCTCCTAGAATTATTCACTATATTCTAGGCATATTTATGTTTGAGTGGATTGTTCCCTCCCCACCATGAGTGCAATATTATTTTGTACTTTTTTCACTATGCAGTGAAATGGTTGATTTCATTGTTTCCTTGAAATTTTTTCATATCATTATATGTAGCACTTATCCTTTTTCCTTGTTTCCTTTTCCATTATAAATTATAAGGCATTGGTGCCTTATAATTTATCTCACCAGTTCACTCCTAAAGATCATTTAACATTTTTGCTAATTTTTCACTCTTATGTACAGTGAACATCCTTGTCCATAAATCTTTGCACACAGGTGGGTGGCTATGTGATATAAATTCCTTGAGGATAAAATTGGTGGGTCAAATTTATGATCTTATTAAATCATTCCCAAACATTGTATCTGTTTACATTCAGCAATAATGTATGAGAATACTATCATCTGCCTTATGTTACCAGAATTTTTTATTCTTGCCAGGTTGTTTTCTCTACATTTGATACAGAAAAGCTATTAACAGAAAACTGTTTTAGTATGTTTTTATTTTGTAATTTTTAATTTTTTAAAAAAAGATTTTTATTTATTGAGAGAGCACATGTACCAGCAAGAGAGAACACAAGTTGGGGGTAGGGGGTAGAGGGTGAAGCAGGCTCCCTGCTGAGCAGGGAACCTAATGTAGGGCTCAGTCCCAGGACTTTGGGATTGTGACCTGGGCCAAAGGCAGACACTTAACCAACTGAGCCACTCAGGTGTCCCTGTTTTAGTATTATTTTAAATTAATATTTTTCTTTTATGTCAGTTACTAATTTGCAATATAAAATTACTTTGTAGGGGTGCTTGGGTGGCTCAGATGGTTTAACGACTGCCTTTGGCTTAGGTCATGATCTCCAGGTCTTAGGATCAAGCCCCATGTCAGGCTCCCAGCTCAGCAAGGAGTCTGCTTCTCCCTCTCCCTCTGTGTTCCCCTTGCTTGTGGTCTCTTCTCTGTCTCTGTATCTCTCTCAAATGAATAAATAAAATCTTTTTAAAAAATTACTTTGTAGTGTTTCAACTCTATAAAGTGTATGAAATTATCAAATAAATATAAGCCTAGACCTGAATGTATTTAATTTTACATGTAAAATTTATTACTTAACATGTAAAAACTTGATATAATTAATGTGTTGGAATAGTTGACACTTTTTCATCTTTTCAGCTAATTACATTTGTTATATGCTTTCTTGGAAAGGTTTTTGAAACCGAAAGGTAATATTTCTGTTCAAATTAATATATGAGGCTATATAACTTTGATATTGGAACTGAATTAAGTCATATGAAAATAGAAAATTAGGGGTCAGTTTAACTTAAAAACATAGATGCGTACATCTTAAATAAAATAATGGTGGTACATTTAGACAATGGGATATTCAGCACTATAAAGAAATGAGCTATCAAGCCATGAAAGGACATGGAGGAACTTTAAAGGCATATTACTAAGTGAAAATGTGTAAATTGTAATTCAACACCTACCTGAGTAAACGAGAACAGCTATATGATCACTTCCATAAATGCAGGGAAAACACTGAATACAGTTCAACACCCACCCAGGATAAAAAATGTTTAGCCAACTAGAAATTAAAGAGAAGTATCTTAACTTGAAAAGGGTATCTATTGATCAGAAACACAAAGCAAATATTATGCCTAATGGTTAAACATTAGTAGCAGTTGTTTCAAAATCAGGGGGGAAAATATATCTATATGACATTGAATAATCAGTTTTAGCCAATGGGATCAGATAAGAAAAAGAAAAAAATAAAAAAAAATACAGGGAAGAGACAGAATTACAACTGTTTGGTAATACTGAGAAATCCAGAGCCACTACAGAATATTAGAGAGCTCAGTAAGACTGCTGGATGAGAGAGAAGCATTAAGAAATCAGTAGCAACAATTATAGCGTGTATGTGTATGTGTTTCTATTGTGTGTTTGTGGCAGATTGCATTTTCCAAAGTGGCAATACCAACATAGGTTGTGTTCCACATGTTCTTTGCACACGCAGTGTGACCCACTGAGAGGTGGTCTGTGTTCCCTACTCTCTGCATCTTAGAAGGCCCAGTGGGTGAAAAGACAAACTAGAAAGTTACCTGTTCTGGGGTTGGTGGCATACAGGAGGCCGGGTAATCCATAGTAGAAGCATTTGTCAAGAAGTGACTTGAGCTCTTGTTTTTTGGGAGGTTTTTGATCACTGCTTCAATCTCGTTACTAGATATGGATAAGGAAGATGTGATCCATATACGCTATGGAGTATTATGCCTCCATCAGAAAGGATGAATACCCAACTTTTGTATCAACATAGACGGGACTGAAAGAGATTGTGCTGAGTGAAATAAGTCAAGCAGAGAGAGTCAATTATCATATGGTTTCACTTATTTGTGGAACATAACAAATAATATGGAGGACATAGGGAGATGGAGAGAAGGGAGTTGAGGGAAATTGGAAGGGGAGGTGAACCATGAGAGACTATGGACTCTGAAAAACAATCTGAGGGTTTTGAAGGGGCGGGGAGTGGGAGGTTGGGGGAGCCAGGTGGTGGGTATTATGGAGGGCACGTATTGCATGGAGCACTGGGTGTGGTGCAAAAACAATGAATTCTGTTATGCTGAAAAGAAATTAAAAAAATAATAATAAAATAAAGATAAATTATTAAAAAATACATAGGGTTTTCAATCAAAATTAATTAGGAATACAGTTATTAAACTAAACATCTGTAAATAGTAAAAAAATAAAAAGAAGTGACTTGAGTTATTTATGCTTAATTTATAAAATCATGTGGCGCCTCACTTTTAAAATGCTTTTTCTCACATGTGATAGTGTGAAAACAAATCAAATTTTTGCTGTTGATGCACACTTTTTTGGGTGTTTCTGGTTTAGCCTTCATTCTCAGAATAATGTGTTCTCTTTGAGTGGGAAAAAAACCCCACAAAAACTGTTCATGCTGGATACACCAGATAGCTGAGTGCTTAGTGCAGCCGTACCCTCATAGAATTTCTTCCCCAGTGGAGCACAGAGAACTGTAAGGGTCCTAAAATGAGCTTCTGACCTAGTGGTGGTTGCTAAGCATTTATGGCTCTAGAAATAAAATTTGAGGATATTTCTGGACTCAAAGTAACAGTAATATGGCACGAAGGTGAAGAAATAGATGAAAGTTTTAAGATAGAAACTCCAAAATAGAGGTAGATATTATTGAGAGCTTAGTAAGAAATCAGAGTATGATGTGATTAGCCTTAGATACCTCCATTGCATTAGTTCTGTGTTACATAAAGTGTCTAATGTTGCTTGTAGGGGTTGAATCATTATGTGGCAATATATGAATACATCCAGAGCAGAGACATGGTGCCTGAAGGACCTTGTTCAGTCCTGCGGTCTAGCACTTACTGGCATTATGACCTTTGGCAGATTGTTTCACCTCTCGAAGCCTGTCATCCCTCATACATAAAGCAGGGATGATAGTTTTTCCTGTTGGTGTTGTAAGAACTGAATGAGATAATGTAGACAGTGAGCTTTGTGTTGTACTTGGCATTTCATCAGTGCTTGATAAATGTTACTTTATACTGGAAAGTATCTGTTTTGCTCAATTTAAGAGGAATATTAAAATGTATTTTTGTTATTTTAAGGAAATTCGCAATGAGTCCCATGACTATCCTCATAGAGTGGCCAAGTTTCCAGAAAACAGAAATCGAAACAGATACAGAGATGTAAGCCCATGTAAGTACTTTGGGTTTGTGTGCATGTGTATATTTGTGGGTTTGTTTTAGGAGGCAAAATACAATGAAAAAGAAGGTTTGGGATTAGGGTTGATAAGTACAGTGGTTTTCTTCATATTAACATAATACATGTTCTTTAAAGAAAAATTTCAAGACACAAAATAGTAGAAGGAAGGAAGATTGCCCATAATTATTGCATCCTTCAAACACAGCCACTGTTATTTCAGTGTATTTCTTACTAACTTTTTTCTTATGCATAATTCTCTTTTTTAAAATTAATGGTAATCATATATATGTGTATGTGTATTCGTATATGTAAATTTCTTATTATTCCGTAACCTTTTAAATATTGCTGAAAATATTTATCAGTGTAGTTTTCTTTTTTCCCCCACATTATAAAAGTAGTATGTACTCTCTGTAAAAACTTTTAAAACAGAAATGTGTAAAAGAGAAAAACCTTGGGGCACCTGGGTGGCTCAGTGGGTTAAGGCCTCTGCGTTCAGCTTGGGTCATGATCCCAGGGTCATGGGATCAAGCCCCGCATCGGGCTCTCTGCTCCGTGGGGAGCCTGCTTCCTTCTCTCTCTCTGCCTTGCCTCTCTACCTACTTGTGATCTCTGTCTGTCAAATAAATAAATAAAATCTTAAAAAAAAAAAAAAAGAAAACTCATGATTTAAAAACAAATTTAAAACTTGTGGGTTTATATTTTTTTGGTATTTTTTCTGAATAAACATATATGTACATTCTTTTATTTATTTAAATAATTTAATTTATTTGAGAGAGAGCATGAGTGCGCATGCAAAGGGGAGGAGCATAGAGAGAAGGAGAGAATCTCATGCAGGCTCCATGCTGAGCACTGAGCCTGACATGCAGCTCTGTCTCTCAGTCCTAAGATCATGACCTGTGCTGAAACCAGGAGTCACCCGACCAAGAGTCAGATGCTTAACTGACTGAGTCCCCAGACACCCCATGTACATTCTTTTAAATTTTAAATTAGAAGCCTTCACATATTAATTGTAGCCCTTTTCCCACCTCACAATACACTGTAAGCATTTTCCTATCATAAGTCTTTCAGTGGCTTTGATAGCATCTTTGAATATGCCATTCTTTTATGTAACAGTTCCCTTGTGGTTGAACATTTGGATTCTGATGTACATACTTGTGCATGTACACAATTCTGTTAATACGTTTCACACCACAGCTTTAAAAATGTGTTTATCCTGAGGTGATTTTAATTTTTGTTCTGATTGATACCATTTGTTCAGATACTAAATTACTACTTACTATTCTACAATGTTATTCCATATTAGATTTTAGTGGGCATGGTTCTTTTCTTTAGGGCTGCTTGTTAGTAGGGATGTTAAAAAAAAAAAAATACTGAGTTTATCACATTTTGTTTCCTACTTGTTTGTGATTCTTTCCACTAGTTGACGAGGGTATGGTGCTAGTGTGCTGAGACCTCCCGTGTAGGCTGAATAATCTCACTCTACTCAAGGCTACAGATTGTATATCCTTATATATGTTGTCTTCCTCATTAGGACGGTATGGATATCCCACTAAATATATACTAGGGCGGGGGGGGGAGGCGCCTGGGTGGCTCAGTGGGTTGAGCCTCTGCCTTTGGCCCAGGTCATGATCTCAGGGTCCTGGGATCGAGCCCTGCATCGGGTTCTCTGCTCAGCAGGGAGCCTGCTTTCCCCTCTCTCTGCCTGCCTCTCTGCCTACTTGTGATCTCTCTCTCTCTGTCAAATAAATAAATAAAATCTTTAAAAAAAAAAAAAAAGGAAAAGAAAATGTACTGGGGAAAAGGTCCATACTTTCTTTCTTAAAGGAACAGAACATTTTTCTTTCTGTTGACCAAGTACATTTCCGTGAAAAAGTGTATTGGCTAATTTTGGACAAATCAAATGAGAAGTAATCTCTTAAAAATATTTCATGTTTATTATAAAGTACTTTCTAAATATTATGTTTCTCTTAACATGTTTTCCTTATGGGTTAGTAGCGTTTGTAGAGATAAATCGCCCCCAGAGAGTGGTTTTTTGTTCTTCTTTACTTGCAGTGCACTTGAAGATAGACAAACTTCTGAAACCTGGCTCACCATGGCAACAATTCTGGTGTTGGTGTGTGTGCAGGGAATGGGGGCATGGGCAGTGGTTCTAACATTTAGGTGCCCCTTCACCCGCTCCAAATTTCTGTTGAGTATCATTGAGCTAGAACACTAATCTTTAGTGTTTACCCTGAGTGTTGAAGACAGTGTGTCCCAGTTGTACACCTTGCTTTGTTGCCTCTAATTTAAAAAAAAAACAAAAAACAGCAACCCAAGCTTCTTTTGACAACTGTAGATATGGATGCAGTTGTGAGAAGTAGCACTCAGAGATCCTGCATACCCTTCCCCTGGTTCTCCCCAGTGCTAACATCTTGGCATAACTGCCACCAGGAAGTGGACATGGATGCGATCCATCCAGATCTCCCCAGTGTCACCTGCCCTCACTTGTGGCTGTGTTCGGTTCTGCTGAGCTCTGTTACATGGTAGAGTGCGGGGTCTTGACCACAGTCTGGGTACAGACTTGGGGAAGAGTGCCACCTCAAGATCCCTCTTGAGGGCCCCAGCCAGCCTGCTCCCTTCCTCCCCTATGCCAAACCCTGAGTTGTCTTTGAATTTTACATAAATGTGTTGTGATTGCAGTCTTTGGATGTGATAAAGTATGTTTGAATCCTCTCAATAGTTTGATCAAATTGCTCTAAAAGGAGGAATTGTTAAGAAATTGGAACTGAGACACTTAAAAGTAAGACATTTGTGGCTTAAATTCTTCTCAAGTATACAAGTCAGTGAAACTTGTGATTTGTCTCAGATGTTAGACTCATGTACCCAGCTGCCTGTCGGACATGTCAGGTTGAAGGCTGCCAGAAGAGCTCTGTTTGCTGTGTATTTACTAACCCCACCTCCATCCTCACTAGCTTGGGCTCTTTCTTCTGTATGTCTTCTCAGGAAGAAGGCCATTCACCTAGCATAGGTACCATTTTAGGAGAAGTCGTTTCTTCCTCAGAGGAGATGTGGCCCCTTGCCCCCTGCTGTCTCTTCCACTACTGCTGTTGGTGGTGTGCCCCGGAGCTGCACTCCCCTGTGAGCCTGCCACTCAGCGCACCTTCTCCTTGCATGTTCTCCCCGCTGAAGCCTGGCTCTCCCCGAGTAAAGTACCTTTCTGTCTCTCCCAGGTAGAGGGTACTTGTCCTTGCTTCCCCTGTAACCTGAGTTTCTTAACTGAGCTCTAACTCTCCACACTGCAAGTTAAAGCGATCCGCTCTGAGGCTGTGCAATCCAGGTACTGACCACCGCTCTTGTACCTGTCCTCACCTGACTTCACAGTCCCTGTGCCACAGTCTCCTCTCTCAGCTTAGAATGCTCAGGACCCATACCCTATCTTCCTCTTCACCCTCTTCTCTCAGTACCTCTTTCTTTGTGCCTGGATGGGATTGTGGCTCTGGGAATGATGTAGCTGTACAGTTCTGGACCTCTTCAGCTCTCAACCCGAAATCTTAAATGCTGCTACTTTGAGGGCTACTTTCTGTCTTTCCAGCCCTTTGACTTCATCAGGATCTTCAGTTTGTTGACTTTTTCATTTATTATAGTACTTTACTTCCTTCCCCACCCTACAAAGTTATTATTATGTTATTATAAGTTATTATTATTAAGTTATTATTACTTAACTTTTCTTGCTGTTCTGATATGTTAGAAAGATCATCTCTGTGGTACTTTAATTCTTCCTACCCTGTGACACCTAATATCAGATAGTCATTCAGTTTCTGTAAACTCTGGGCTTACGTGTATGCCTTGGGTAGGCTCAGGCACTGACTGGGGCTGGGCTGCCCCATTCTCTTCCTCCGTGCCCCTCGTCAGTCCCACTGCCCCTCCGCTCTGACTTGTCCCAAAGGAAACCAGCTCTCAACCCACCCCCACACCCACCACTCGCAGAATGTGATCTGCCTTCAGTTCTGTAGAGAAACATTTTAAAAATCCAGAAATAACTCTTCATGTTCTACCACCTGGAAACTTATTTCTCTCCACACTCCTCTTTTCCTGAAGTCCCAGGAAACAAAGCCTTCCCTCTCCTGTCCTAGGGTTGTATCCTGATGCCTCATTCCTCCTCTGGGACCTCATTTTACTCCTATTTTCAACCTCTTTCCAGTAGCTCCTTTCCCATATTATGTAAATGTGCTTCAGCCTCTTCTCATCTCAACCCTCCTACTACACCTCAGCTCCACTTACTCTGTCACCTATGCGGACATGAGCACATGCACACGATTGCATACAGAGTCTCAAAAAAAAAAAAAAAGACACCATATTATTTGTCTCCATCCTCGTCACTTGTGCATGTACATTATTTGGCCCATGGTTCTACCCCAGCCTCCCCTCTGAAACTTTTATTCTAAAGTACTGTTTTCAAGCTTTCTAGTTTTCACATGCAATAAGGGACTTTCCATTGGTTTCTTTTCTTATCCCTATGACTTTTGACATTGTTGATTCTGCCTTCCTTCCCTAACACCATTATTTTTTCTATTTTGCTATTATTTTTCTGGCTAATCAGGCATTTTCAGAGCTTCTCTTCATCAGTCGACTGTCTTCCTCTCCTTCTCACTCGGACACTTCTATGAATGGTCTCATCTTCTGTAGGTTTGGTTACCATGTGCTTGTCACCCCAAATCTCATCTGTAGCGTAGGTCTTTCTTAGCTATAGACCCACTTTTGCAAGGCACTCATGTCTGTGTGGATGTCCTCTAGCTGCCTCAGACTCAGTATGTCTAGATACTGATGTAACATTCCTCCCTATCGGTCCCAACCCTGAGACCTGCTTTTTCTGCTCTAGTCTCCATATCATAAATGGTACTATTATTGACACATATGCTGCAGCTAGAAACTCAGACCCCTCTCTGATTCAGCTCTCATATCTACTTGATAATTAAGTAATTACAATTCAATTTCCATAATGTGTTTTATTTTTT